GCTGTGGCTGGGAAGGGCTAGTGCTGCCCCAACGTGTGCTAAGAAATGCTAGTGTGTGGGGTTTCAACCCCTAATTTCCCCACAAGACCAATAACCCTGTTCCTAGGGACCAACCCAGTTGATTTCTGAGGTGGGGGGGAGGCTCTGCCATGTTCCTGTCCAGAGGTATCACCCAGCAACCTGTGCAGCCCCCAGCCACGGGTGGCGGTTCAGACAACGCTCAGCTCTTCTTCCTATCCAAGCCCTGCAGATCCAGTTCTGCCTGTTCCTTCAGAGCTTCATTTCAGGCAGACAAGTCTCTCGGCCCTAGATGATCTGGTTCCCTACAGCCCAGGCAGGTAAACCAGTAAAACCCAGCAACCAGCTCTGTGGTTCCCACTCAGAAACTGCAATTTTTCTCTATGTCCAAGCAACACACGAGGTGCATGTGGATCCAGCTTGTGGCTGGCGAAGGAAATCTGTGTGTTCATACCCCACCAGGTACAATAGCCTAGACCACCTTACCCCCAGACACAATGGGCTTACAGGTCAGACTGTGTGTGCTCACTTACATCTCACCCAGGGGACTGAAGTCCTTCCCACAAGGAAGCATCAGGGAGGATGCTTGATCTCCATGTCCAAGATGGCATGGAGTGTAAGCTGTCCCAGGGATGCTCCTGCTGCACTGCTTCACCCTGCCCTCCTGCTCTGCTTCTCCAGCCTGTAAAACTGGCAAGCAAGTCTGTAAATATCCTAGATGACACGAAAGAGACCAGAAAGTGCCTTACCTGGAGTTGAAAAAGCAAGTGGCCTCTTCGATGCCTGGCTAGCAGCTACTAGGGATCTGGGTATTTGAGCGTTTCAGTCTCCTCCCCAGTCCCACTTTCAGAGCAGAAAAACTGGCTCTGCCACCCACCATGGACAGCACATGACACGAGGAACATGACCAGTCACATCAGTACCTGCAAGAGGTATTGCCTCTAGCATAGGCAGGAGCACAAAGACCTCCTGACTCTTTGCAAGCAAGCCAGGGCAGCTCTGGAGGCTGCAGATGTCCACAGGAACAAGCCCTTGAGACCAGAGAGGTGGCTGGGGACTCAACTTGGGAACAGGCTATGGTCAGGACCACGCTGAAAGTAGAGAAGAAGGGATTTAGGGGATGTCCTTAAAACTGTAATGAGAAAATCCTCCAGCAGGTCCTTGCTCCCCTCTTGGCGGGGGTGTCATCTGGCTCCAGGAGGTACAGGCAAGGCCAGAGCAGGCAGAGCTCAGCACTCCCAGCTCCATCTGATGCTTGTCCTTGCTGCTGGCTTTCGCTCCAACATATCATTAAGCAAATACCTGTCAGCAGAGAGCAGTTACCAGCAGGTCTAAACACTTGCATAATGTGCTTCCCCTCCAATGCAATGCCCTCGTTTCTCACAACACCAATACAGGATACTAACCATAATGATAATGTCAAGAAGGGCTTGTGTACCTGAAAGCTAATTTGTTTTTTCTACCTAATAAAAGGTATTACCTCTCCCACAAGGTTTGCCCAATTTAAAGCATTCAACTCTACAACTAAGCTGCTCCCACAGCCATTTTACTTTAATATACAGTAATTGCAGCATATGTGGAGCCCCCTCCCAACTGAGCATGACTCACCCCGTGTAACTCATGCAGGGAGCAAGCAGCTGTACAGAAGTCACTCACCCCAAAAACCTGGCCATGTCTGCCCCAGGCGTCCACTGGAGCCTGCACCAGCCCCAAGTAGAGAGCAAGAGCCCCTTTGGGAACCTTAGAGCAGGAATAAGGGAAGGGTTTTAACATCAAGGGCACATAAACCCTGGAGCAGTTTAGCAAAACCAGTGGCAGAGTCCCCGTTGCTGCCAATTTTACAATCAAATAGTGATGGTGCTTTCAAGCAGAGATACTTAAGATCACAGAGAAGTATTTCAGGAAGCTCCCAGCAGCCAGCACTCAGTCTACAGGTAAACAGTGGCAGCAGTCCTGCCTGTTCCCCTGGTGACACAGCCAGGGAACTCGAGTTATGGCACAGGAGTTCAGTGGAGATGTGTACAGGGAGCACACCTCTGGGCCCTGGGCCAGACCCAGGGAAGCTGCTTGGTGCCAGGAGCAGCTGGCATCCAACCTCACTCCTCTGAGCAGCTTCTGCCACCCCTTTAGGAGGATCCTCCTTCACAAACACCACACTCAACTTAATTTTTAACTCGTGACCTCATTGCTTGCTTCCTGCCAGCCCCAGCCAAGCTCTCAGTACTCTAATGAGAGGGACCTAAGCCTGCAGCATCCTTCAGTTAGAGCAGCCCAGGGGACAGCCCTGCCATCACTTCCTGGACAAGGGGACACAAAGCACCATCCCAGGGAACTGGCTCTTAGGGAATGCCCCAACCATCAGGCCAGGCTGCAGCCACCAGCACCTTCCAGCATAGGGGTGGCTACCACCACCCAGCAGGACAACAGAGACACTTTTATGTCCCAGTCCACAAACTGCACTGGCTCTGCTCTCACCCTGCAGTGAGCATGAAGCTGCCCTTGGAAGAAAGCAACCTGCCAGCTCCTGGCCTCCTCCAAGCTGCTGCCCAAGTGTTAAGCTGCAAGGGGCTCAAAAAACTCCCAGAAAACGTTAGCACAAAACTGGGCATTTATGTTGCCTGTTTCAATGTCAAGGACCCTTTGGCTACAGAAGATCAACCTTTCTGCTTAAATGACATCATTGTAGACCACTGTTTATTTAGGGTACAGTGTGCACACCTGGGAAAAAAAAATGCCAGAGCTCTCCTCCTCCCCATCCTGCCTCTGAGTCACAGCATTTAATTTGTGCGGGGGGTGACCCAGGACAGCTGTCCTCTTGCCCAGGGCCACCAGTAGCAATATATCTGCTGCTTCTTCCAAATGAGGACAACTGCTCATCCCGCCTGTGTCAGAGGTTTTGGTGCTGTTGCACATGCCGGTTTTAATAATGAAAAATGACTCCCCAAGAAGCTGGTCAGGCAGGGGCTGGGAGCAAGTGCCAAAGCCCATCGACCCTTTTTTATGTTTTAAACCTTTCCATTGCAGCTGCCAGGAAGCAGCTCTTACAGCTGCAAGTAACAGAATCTCTCCCAAGGAAAGAAAATAATTGTGGAAGGCTTTTTTTTTTTCCCCCACTCCAAGTCACTGCCAGCATCTTAGCTGACTCTTCTCTATTCTCAGCCACCTCTCACCTCCCCAAACACTACCAGAACTGCTCAAATTACTGCCAGCTCTCATTAGGCACATGCACAAGGCAAGGCCAAGCAATACGACCTCCAGACAGTTGGATGCTGGATTCTGATTAATCCTTTGGGTAGAAAGATTTCAGGAACTGTTGAATTACCTTTTTTTGCTATCCATTGCAGTCCTTGCACTGGCACAGTAGTGAAAATGTTGCACGTTTGATTATTGGCTGCTACAAGAAAATCCAGGCAGGCATGTGACTGAAAGAATTACTGTCTGCATCTCCAAAAAAAACCCCAAATCACCCAATTTCCTTTAATTATTAAACTACTCTACACTAATGCACTGCAGGTCAGCAGAATTTATCTGCAAGAAAAGCAGCTGCTGTTCCATAAGATGCCATTATTTTCATCTCCTCTCTTCTGACATTTCAGCTTTGTGGCAGGAGCAAAGCTGCCATTTTGCACTGATGCAGGAACTGGGAGCTCAGCTCTCACTCCCCAGCCCAGGTTCAGAGCCCTTTCCCAAGAGATGGAACCCTGCCATGAGAAAAGCCCCAGCTGTCCTGGCCCCAGAGCACCTCCCAGCCCAGCCCCACAAACCACAAACAGGGAAGTGAAGGAAAAAGCCCCACAGTTCTTCCTGCTCATTTTGTTTGTTCCCACTGCTATCTTGATTGCTTTTAGCTGAAAGGGTTGTCAAAGCAAACCTTTTCTTTAATAATGCTACCAATGTAAAGAAGAAAAAATATACAGTTTATTGTAGGGCAGATGTTTTTACCCCAGACAGGCTCTTTTCAAGTCTAGCCTTCTTTAAGATGCCAAAATAGGCTCTTCCTTTAGAGATCTGATCAGTTGAACCAGGAGTAAGGCAAGGCTTTTTCCATATACATAAAATCAAAGGAGCATTAGCCAAAAGGTGTTCTAATAATAAAAACACTTCTCTACTGCACAAATAGAGCAGAGGAAAGTTAAGCCTTCAGTACAGCAGAGATGTGCAAGACCTGCTAAAACCCAGAGGATTTTCAAAACAGGATTTAAGCATCATTGTTACCAATGAGCAAGTAGAGAGGCAGGTGTGACACTGTCACCTCTGCTTAGCTATTCTGGACTTCTTGAAGCTCCATTTTAGCTGTGTATTTCTGCTCTTGTGATTCTAACAGAGGCTGCTCCCTCCCAATGGGCAGGCTCAAAAGATAGAAATTGCAAAACTGAACAAAGCAGGGAACTTTCACAGCAAAAAGAAACAGACACTGAACGTGGAGCAGCTTCTGAGACAAATTAGGCCTCCCACTAACAGAACCAAATTGTTTCCTCTTCACCTACTTTATGCCTTCCAAGAAAAAGAAACATTGTGTTACAGTGTTTTAACACAGAAACAGAGAGGATAAGTATCTGAGGTTGTGAACGGTCTGTGGCTGACATGTCAAGCCAAGTAGAGTCCTCCTGCTAAATTATCTTATTAAATTGCCCAAAAACAAATCAATCCCTTTTAGCCAGTTCTCCTTTATTGCTATAAAGAAAAGTACCCACATTCTTAGGGCCAGATCAGCATTTTCCCAGTTTGTGCTGAAGCAAGCAGTCTGCAAGGGAATGAGAAACAGCACCCTAGAGAGAGTCCCCATCCCACATCCCTGAGTCATTAACAGACATCTTCAGGAAGCTGGGGCTTCTCTTCAGAAACAGCTCAATTAAGAATCCTTCTGCTCTATTCTTTCCAGCCTAGGAACTGCAAGACTTATAATCCTAAATATTTGCCTTTTCTTCCACCTCCTATTCAATATTCACTTCAACGCAGAGCTATCAGGAACCTAATTATGGTCTGACTTAAAAATCACACCATGATTTTAGCTAACTCTTTAACTAGCCAGCTGCTACTCTTTTCTCCAGCATTGTCTTCACAGTCCAGAGAGATTCTCCAAAGAGCTTGTTAACACATACAGCAGAGGGATTTCAGTGAAAAGATCCAGATAGTCCATGAAAACGGAGAAGAAATCTGCCCTTTAAGTCTGTCACGTTGTCCACCCGCCTGGACTATGCTAATCACATCTCACAATGTGCTGTAAGAGCTGTCATTGCCAGACTGCATTTAATCACCGTCCTTGCAGCAGCAGAGATCAGAGTTAATCTTTTTCCCTTTAATAACAGCCATTACATCATTCTCCAGCATGGAAACTATGAAGTGGGAAGGTCACAAAGTTCTTAATTAGAAGGATTTCTATTGCTGCGATAGTTCCGTTCTAGCCTCAATAAGAGAGATCTGCAGCACAGGCAGCAAGAGCTGGAAGGCATCTTGGATATATGAAGCACTGTTTGAAGCCTATGAAAACAAAAATCAAAATACACACATGAATAATTATGCTTTAATATCCACATACTCCTATCAAACAGCATTGATTAATGCACATAAACAGAAGCCTAGAGTTTGTTGAATTTTTAAGGCTTCATTCTAGAAATCAATTGAGGGTTAAGTTTTTGAAGGGCCCGAAGGCACTAGGCAAAAAGGCAACTGGCTTAAAAACTGCCAAAGAAGACCAAACAATCCAAATGTAGGATACTGCTGTCAATAATAGATGAGAAGAATTTATTTCAAAGTGAAGCATAAGCATGCTGTGGCAGGAAGAACGAACACAACAACAGGAAACACCAGTTTCCTACAACACTGGAAATTTACAAGCACTGAGAGCCAACTTAACAGCTGGGAAGTGCTGGGACACTAAGCCTAAGGTTTGACTTTGGACATTAGAATTCTAGAAATCCAGACTGCTGAACAAGCAGATATATGTAATCTGACCCATCATAACTGTCAGCTGAGACCACTAAGGTTCACTCTTCACTAAGTAACCAACCTCTTGTTCAGATGTACAGACATTCGTTAACACTTCCAAGTGCATTTTAAAAAATATTAGCTTAATGTTTTAACTTTAGCGTAACTGACCTCCAAAAACACTCCAGTGATTAAGGGATTAAGCACATCTGCTTTCTCTTTGACCTGCAGAGATCAGACATATATTATCCTGATTGAAAATTTGATCACATTTCTTCAGGCAAGATAAAGCTAAATCCTCAGCAAGTTTAAAATCACCATTGCTCCCTTGACTCAAGGGCTACAACACAAGCTGCAGAGGACCTGCTCTGTAGTATGCAAAGAAGAAAGGAACCCACATATGCCCAACACAAGTCGTGTATGAATACACACATTAAATCTTCAAATGAACTGTGGGCAGCTGGGAATTTAGAGATAATGATATTATCTTCAATAACACCTGAGTGTTTTGGGTATTCCACAGTGGGATCACAAAGCTTATTTTCTACTGTTCCCTTAGTACTGTCAGCACCAATTCCCACCCCCACTCTGTGCCTGGCTGAATGCAGCAGGAAGCATTCAAAATCTCAGCACACATTCAGGTGACACAGAAGATCAGTTCACAGGGCAAAAAAAATGCATATATAAACGTGCAAACACAAAAGGCACTTTGTGGTGAAGATCCCAAGGCTGCAATCAACTAACCACATCTCATTCCTAACAATCATTCCTAACAAACATGGTGTAATTCTTACCCCTGCAGTCGTTAAGCACATAGAAAACTCTTTAGAGAAAGTTGACAGCTCTTTACACAGCACAATCGTCATTCTGCAGAAGAAGAGTGGGGAAAACACCTAGTAAATACAGCCTACAATAACAGCTTTCTTTCAGCATTCCCCTAAAACACAAGTACCTTGTTTCCATGCACATAAAGCTAAATTAAACCAAAATTTATAATAGAGCATATAAACAGTGCATGGAGATCCAGAAGTTCCCCGAATGAATTAGGAAGTGGAAAGACCGAAAAATCAATAATTCAAGCTGAAGATCTGAAACAGCCCTGAGAGGACAGAGACATCTATTCAGAAAAGAACAGTACTAACATGCCTTTTTTTTTTTCCTGACAAGCATCATTTTCTGAATTAGAAAGTCCTGCATATTTCATAACTTGCCAAATACATCCTGACAGAAAAACCTTGTGTTATGCATTATTGGTAAAACCAATCTACTAATTAGTTGCAGTAATTGTACAGTACCACACACCTAACATACTAAATTATTAACAAAGAGGTAATTAAGAATAATTTTTATGCAACTGCTTTGTCATATTTTAAATGTGTATCTACAAACTAGCACAAGCTTAGGGCAAATCTTCCCCTTAGCTATATAAAAGCTTTCAAGAAGGGTTTCCTCTTTCTTATCAAGAAATGTCTTCCAGCTGCAAAGAGACTGCTGAATTCTGCTGGAAGATAGTGATGCCACCCATTGCAATCTTGGACACATATGCAGAATTCAAGAGCCCTACATCCTGCGGATTTGCAAAGAATTAGATAGCTTAATCAGTATGTAAGTAATTCTATACTACACGTTTACTAAGAGATGAACTTACTGTGAAAGGGACTTGGCTCTGTCTGTGGCTGTCACCTCTTGTCTCTGACCATGTAGAAACAAAGCTGCAGTTTTGTGAAACATTTCAATGGAGCAGGCTGTCAGCTCAGCCAGACTTCTTATGGCAAACGCGTGAATATCCTGCAAGAGTTAAACAGATTCCTCATACTATACAAAAACTAGCAGTTTTTTACTATTTAAAATAAGTGAATCACACAGAAATAGAAGTCCATAAATTCTGGGAAGCTGTAACTTAGCAGCCAGATAAACATTCTGTTGTCAGATATTCTCTTCCTTCAATACTCAGTTACCTCTACTGATTTTTTTGCGTGATGTTCAAGATCTCTGGGTTCTCCTTCTTCCTTTCCTTCACTCTCTTCTTCTTCCTTAGGAAGACTACTGTTGAATTGTGCTATCCATTCATGAGCAGATGTCCTCACCTGCATGAAGATGTGCCACAGTATTTAATGACCGGAATGAAGTCCCTCTGCACACCACAAAACACAGAGCATCAGATCTCTCTAAAGGAAGGAAACAGCTACAACTCCTAAGCTAGTGAGGAGAACCAGGACAATTTATTCTAGTGCCTTCAGAACTTTGTAGAAGGTTGGCTACACTGATGCAGTTGAAGGACAGTTATTTTCCTATCACCAGGTGCTGGAGTTTACCAGCAAGACCATGACAAACACTGGTGCTTTAAAAACATGTCTGCAGAATGCTGCTGCCACTTGGTGGACCTGAAGGGTAGTGAAATTAAGGTAATAAAGGCAATTTTACCACATATCAACTTCTGAACCAGCTGCTTTGTACCAAAAGAAGAGCTTCAGTTCATGACTGTAAGTTGATTTCACTGTGGTGGCTGAAGGCTTACTGGTCCCAGTTATCTCTGCCACCAGTGATGGGGCCAAGAAACGCTGGTGTCTGAGAGCCAAAGACATTACAGAACTCCCATAAAACCAAAGGAAAAGGCCCATTTCTTTTGTCTAGCATTGTCAAAGGATCTAAGAAACAGTTTTTCATGCATTTGATATTTCCATGAGCAAGGCAGGACTGAGAAGCAGCTCCTTTGAGGAGGCTCTCCAGCTTTTAGAAGATGGAAAATAACTCACCATGATCAGTTTGTCTGGCTTGGAGGAGATACGCAATTCTGAAAACAACTCTGTTACTTCTTTTCTGAACTCCTCATCTCCTGAAGGACAGGAAAGGTTAAAGAATCCACACAAAGGACAGTCACAGGAATAAGCAGCACTTCAAATAGTTCTGCACAAGTCTGTCCACTGTCTCCTTTTTTTCTCTTTTAATCACCACCTCAGGCAAGAATGCATCAAACCTGGTCTTTTAAAATACAATTTATAAGGTAAGTTTTGAAAAGATGGAGACAGCAGTGCCAGGAGGTTAGTTTTGCTTTCTCAATTCTCATTTTGTAGCTAAGGTATTTTTTTTATATTCTTTTTACAGGCAGCATTTTAGAATGCACTAACTTCCACACCACTTTGCAAAGTCTGAAACATCACTTAAAGCCGGTGGTTCTCCTTTTACACGCTGCAGGGCAGATGTTAACAGTGGGGGGAAGGCTGTGAGATCCATCATGTGCAAATAGAAAAGATACATTAAATGTTAAGTTATAGCAAGAACAGGTGTGTAATCCCTCCCTGATGAGCCATTTAGGTAAAAGCAATGCAAGAAATTTACATTTAAATCTGCATAATCCTCAAGAATCAGATGGGTCTCATGTATGGAGGCACCCCTGAGTCTTTTGGTCTCTGTGGCTAACTCCCCTTTAAAGAAGAAATTAGAAGGCTTTTTGCTTCCCCACAGGTTGGACAACTATTCACAGTCTTTCCCTCATGCTCAGGGAAACACTGCATCTCTCTGAATTTGCATCTTGGCTCAAGGTCAGTTGGATGAACTGCCCAGGAGTCAAGCAACTCTAAACCTGCTCTGGTGAGAGATCATACCCATTACAGAATTAATGCACAGCAGCTTCCCAGAGATAAAGGGGATTGCTACCTGTCATGCTCCTGGCCATGGACAGCTTCAGGATTAATCATCCAGCTAAAGAATAACTTAGCTTTGGCACCATGCCCATTGGTAGTGATCTCAGGGCTGATTGGTTCTATTCTGCGAATTTCATTGAGAACCAGCTTCTCCTCCCAGAACCTGAGGGTCTCTTACCTTTCTTTTCTTCCTCTTCTTCTTCAAAGAACTCAGGTAAAGAAAATGCTTCTTTGAGTTGTTCCATTTCCTCCTTCAGTGTGTCCAGCTCATCTCCAGAGAAGGCATTTAGAACTGATTTCACCTAGTTAGGGGCATCACAGCCAAAGACAGAATCACAAATCCAACAGGAAACAGGATGGAAAATGCAGTACTGTTTTACACTGCTTGTCAAAACATCACAGACTGATGTTGATGAGAAAGTGAATCCTATGGGAAGGAGGAAAGGGAAAAAGACCTATTTCTGAAGCACCATTTGATGATTACGGATTCTTAAGGAGTTATTCAAATTCCTTTCATAAAAAAAAAAAGTTAATGACTCCTAAAATTGCATGCTGATCTGCCCTCCTCCCTGCCCCAAGACAGACACCTTTGCTGTCCTTACAAAACTCTCCTTTTCTCCAGACCAAGGCTGCAAACAAGTGGGTATGATGAGAGTAACTTTTTATAAGCTGCTGAACACACACAGGAACTGAGGCTGACTGGGGAAAGAATGTCTCTAGCAGCTGAGGGCAGGACAGAGCCAACACCAGACCACAATGCAGAGGTCAAAGTGAAGTTGTGTAATCAATAATTTTATAGTGAGTCCTGAGCACCTGATTTTACGTGTATATATAATATATTTCTAATCTTTTTTTGCACTGCTCAGCTGAGCTCAAAATAAAAGGCAAATTGCTCAAGGCCATTACCTTTGATTCACTCTCTCTGGAAAGCATCTCTAAGGCCTCCAGATGCGAAAGACCCTGAAACTCATCAAACAGTAACCCATAATGGGCTTTCTTCTCCGTAGCCATGGCAACCTCAGTAGCTGTCTGCTGCTCTTCTCTCTCCTTTGCCTCTCGTAAAACCTGACAAAGAAAAGCAGAGGACTCAGGTCAGTGTCAGACTACACAGAATATGGGAGAAAAAGGCTTTTCATTCAATAGTAAATGGTTTCTTAATGACAAGACCACAAAAGAAGGCAGAAGGCGTAAGAGAAATCGAGGAGGAGCTGATACAGAACTGCCATACCTGAGATAACGTAGAGCTCCTGTTCATTAGGCTCTTTGTTTTTTTGAATCCAGGGTCTCCCTCAGCTATTACATCCATTGTCTTTTTCCCAATAAATTCCAAGGCATCCAGACCTCCAGTAATAACACTTTTTCCCTAGGAAACAGATTTGGATATAGGCAGCACAGAGAACTCACAGAAGACTTAAAAAAAATGAAAGAAATTGAATTGTGGGATTTATATCAAGCCAAATTGGTCCTTGTCACCCTAAAATTCCACCTTAATTGCTACAAAGAGAGCAGAAGGGTACAGAAAGAGCCATGACACATTGTCATCCAACACTTTAATTCAGCACTCAGACAGCTGCAGCAATCTGATGGGAAATACATTTTCATTTTGTGAACAAGCTGGTTCTCAGCACATGAAAGTATCAAGGGGTTTCATTCTCATCCCTCCAATCAGAAAACACTAGACCTGTGGGTTTTTGGTTACTAGCTCTTGTTCAAGCCTTAAAAGCACCAGCAAACTTTCCATCTGCAGGGTCCTTCAGATTCACAGGCAAATTGGCAAGACAGCAGACCACAAAAGCACAGTTTCTAAGGGTAATGGGCTCCTTTGAAGTGTATTTTTCATGGTCAAAGGAGGAAGGTGATTTCCAAGCAATTTGGGCTAGTTTCACAGAAGTTTTTGAAGAGAATGGATTTCATCTCTAGGCAGTTCTGTGGAAATCAGTGAAAATATTCCAGGAAGGAGTCTGACCCTGCATTTACTTGATTGCTCTAAAGGAAGGGAGCAGAGACAACAGAGCACAAGAGGTGAAGTGGGGGGGAATGCTCACACCACCCAGACCACTGTTAGGGTTTGGGATTTTTCTTTCGTTAAGTATCAACATTTAATACAAAAGTATCACATTTTAAGACAACTTACACAGTAAGTGCCAGTTAGAAGGAAGGCACAGAATAATACACGTTGTCTGAATGTTTAAACAGTTTATCACCAGGCAAAATGAAAAGTTTCCTGTTACAATGCTTCAGATGCAAGGCAAAGAAACCCAATTCTCTCTTAAACCCATCTTCCCCTGACTTCCCAACTCACTCACTGTGCTTTGGACAGCAGTAGAGATGGTTGATAGAACTCCAAGAGCCCCAGCAATAGGAAAGGAACTGCCATCATCAACTGCATCTGGACTGCTAGCACCAGGATTCTCACTTCCTGCATTAGAAGGCAGAAAATTAACTTCCTCACTCCCAAAAAAAAGGTCCTGTTGGCTGCAGAGAGGAGATAATTACCAAACAGCAAGTGCCAACCAAGAGCAGGGATAGAACTGGGATTATTTTCCTACCTACTTCTCAGATCTAACAGAAGTGAGCAAGGGAGTATGATTTCAGCACACAGATATCTGCCACAATAAGCAAGGTGCAGAGCAAGGTGATGCTATTTTGGGGCTGCATATATTGTAAGAAATGTTTCAGTGGTGGTTTTATGCAGTGAAAACTGACCTCTTGTAGCATCTCTTGTCTCTGAGGAGATTTCACTAGGACTGGGGATCCCAAGGGTTGTTTCTGCTTTTTCTATGACATTTGAAATACCTTGACCTAGAGAAGACAGCAGTAGGACTTTAACCATGAGATACAAGAGAAATCAGAACAGAAACAGCATTACAGCTGCATATTAGGTTTTATTGTTCTTGATTCCTCCTGTTCAAGACATTGTACCCAGCACTAAAAGTTACTATTATGCAGCTTGCTTACCAGTGTAATGCATTTGGGTTTAATCTCAGCTTTTACATCAAGCTGAAAATACCAGCTGAATATTATGCAAACATCTTAAAAACTTGAAAGCCACTCTGGCTGTGCATATCTCCTTAATTTCACTGTACCTTTTGGTACAAGTTTTACCCATTACCTGAACAATCCTCTTGACATTTTTCCAGTAATTGCTTCTACAACAGAAATCCCCTGGTCTAGAAATAAGCTTAAAAGCACTAGCTTGAGATGTGAAGTAAGGTTAAAATATGTACCGAATACCAGAAAGAGCCTTACCTACAGTGGCTACAGTAGCAGTTGCAGTTGACAGAAGAGACTTGCCCCAGCTTCCCCAGTACCCCCATCCTGTCTGAACTGCAGCAGAAGAATCTGAGACCTTTAATGAAGAAAAACAGAAGAGTGATGAAGGCATTACAGAGGGGAGAAGAACACAGGCAGTCTGTGACATGCAGCTTTTGTGCAGCTTTTTCTTTTCAGAGAAACAGCAATTATGAATTTTCAGAAGAGGAGTGGGGCTTATGATCAGAATTACTCTTTGCTCAAAGCCACAGAACATGCAGACACTTTCTTCAGAGCTAGCACAGCAACATACCTTGAGGGTTTCAGCTGCAGGCTTTTCTGTGCCAGCTGGCTGGCTTGGGGGTTTGGGCTCAGGTCTTTTCCGGGTCATAGGCACAGGCTCAGGGTCTTGCTCTCTCTCTTCATTGCTCTCAGCACAGCCAAGTTCCTCTGCTTTCTGACTCTTCTCATCTTCGTACGATGTTTCTTCTTTCAGGTTTTCAGTGCTGCCCTTCTCAGACATGACTACAACATCCACAGAAAGCAAAGCAAACTAATCCCTCCCTTGTACACCTTGACATTAGCTCAAAAGCATCCCATTTGTGTTTGAAATAATTAAACAGCCCTAAGACAGAACTCCTTTCATGTTGCCACACGTACCCGCATGAGGAGAGAAGGTTTTCAAGGGAACATGCACCTGGAGTTACGTCCCACGGGAAGAGATGTCACACCTGGAAGTTTAAAGTCCCACAGAAACACGTGGCTTTACCTCCCAGACACACCCTCTCTGCAGGAAATGGGCGGGCTGCTAACTCTGAAAAGCAAACGAAAGGTGCAAAAGGCCTTCAGATAATTAAATCCATTCCTTGCTTCACCAAACACAAGCAAAGCCAAAGAGCTGGGGACGGCTGCTGCCGAGGGGTGCTGGGCAGGGCCGGGGGCTGCTGTCAGGAAGCCGGGCAGGCAGGGATGCGGGAATTCCGTGCTCAGGGCTGAGCAGCTGCTCCCAGCCCAGGCGTTTATGGAAGGGGAGAGCGGCCCCTTTTGCAAGGCCAGGCTGGGGACCCGCACCCCAGCCGGGCCCTGAAGGCCTCCCTGTGCCTCCGCTTGGAGGCCCCAGAGCTTCACAGCCTCCCCGTGGGGCTGCCCTGACCCCCAGGGCCCGCAACCCCCCGCAAGGGCTCCTGCCCCTCAAGG